TTACTTTCCACGTATATTTTTAGGGAATTGCATATATTCAGGTATGCCCTTCTATTGATGATGGTGTGTTTTCTTATAATCTTTGCTTCGAACTTAAATATAGTGCGTGAGACTGAACAAATTTTAAATAAATAACAAAAACGACTTTTGCTTGTTGGGAAACATTTTAACAGGAAAGAGCTGCTACATAATTGTAAGATTTCTAAATTTACCTTCAATTTCGAGGTGCATGCGCAAATTTTCGCGCAGTCTTCTTAAAAAAATATATTTCGTTTGACAAAAAAAAAGTTGAGTTTTTCAGGAGTGTTTGAATAAATATTGAGTCAGTATTTAACGTGCCTGTCTGCCCTCGCTTCTCTTCCTTAAAAAGCTTACATCTTTTTTATTCTTCTTTTGGTTTTCTAAGCTCTGCAATTATGTCGAACAGCCAACACCACGAAGTTTGTACTTCGAGTTGTGATCCTGTAGCGTCTCATCTCAACCAGAATATGGCTTAATTTTAAATTGGGTAATCTACACTTTGCTTTTCTACATGATGGTGAGACTAGAGGTCAGGGAGAGTGTGTTCAACTTGAAACAAAAATGATGTTGAGTCGTCCTACACGGCAGTGCACTCTAAAAAAAATCTGGTCGTAAAGGACATTTTAGGAGGTCCGTGGTTTGTCCATATTTTGCACCCTAAAAAGTTATTTTAAGCACCCCCTACTAGGGTTCTTCGTTAAAGACCTACGATGGGTTCTTTTAATCTGCTTATTTGATGCGAAAGTGTTTTCCAACGCCCAGTCGTCTTTCTAGTGCGCCAGGGTGAGATGGTGCTTGAGGCGAAACCGTTCTTCACGAGCCGAAGGAGTTCTTCGGGTCGTAGAAAAACCTTTCAAGCACTTTTCTTTAGAGTGTGGGGCAACATCTTAAAAATCGACTTACCCCAGCGACGCTGAGAAGACTCTCCTGTGACACAGCAAAACATAGCATGAACCATCTGATTGCCATCTTCGTCGAACGGGTCTTGGTATGGTTGCTCGTGAAGCGCGAACGCTCGCTCGCTTCCTCTTCTTCCCAAGAAGGAACCCCCCTTTACTGGTTGTAAGTTCGTTAGCATCGGAGGGGTTCGGTGGCCGAACCTGGTAAAACATTTCAGCTAAGCAGCGCGTGGAGCGAAAGGTCGCTCTGCAGGCGTCGTATCCAAATGCGTTAGTTCAATTACTACGGCATGATGCACGCTCGGAAAGCCTTGAACCAGCCATGTATCAAGCCGAAATAACTTCGTCGGTTCAACCATATAACTAGTTTTAATCGATGATGTTGTCAGTTTTTTTGTTTGTTTTTTCTTTTCTTTGTTTATTTTGGGTATGGCGGCATTCTCTCGTACTCAAGAGAGAGCATCGTCACATACATTGAAGAGGCAAAAGAAGAAGAGGGTAAAAAGGGATTACTTTGTTAAGCATTTCGAATTCACTGATTTCTCATATCTTGGGTGTTCAAAATTAACAAAGGATACATCACCTAACCATTAGGATTCTCGACAAATCCATTCGTTTGGATAAGTACCAAAAGTGTCCGAAAACAACAAGAAATCAAATTATTCGAACGAATGTCTAGACCAAATAATGACCAATAAGCGCTCGTAACATCACCGAAATTTGTTTACAAATGTTTAGACTACGGGTTCCGCGAGAGGTAAGTTTAACATTTCGACAAAAACCCCGAGACTTTGTGTTTGTCCGTCCCTTTTTGTCCCAGTCTCGGGGTTTTTGTCGAAATGTTTAACCACCACCAGCTCGTTTGCGCCCTTACCTTTTGTTCAGGTAAGTTTGCCTTGGAACTATATACCTGGAACGCAACGCCGACCCTCCAAAGGTTATATTTACCCTTCGTCCCTTCGATGTCTGACTAATTAAGTCAGATATTGACGGAACCAAACAGTCACAAAAATGAATTTAAAACGTAGGGAAACAAAATTGTGTGAATGAGTGTTCACAGGGAAAAACACGATCAGTTGATGGCTCCAAGTGATCTCGGCGAGTACAATAAATACGATGCTTTTTAAGGAGGCACTGAACTCTCAAAACACTTTTTCTTGAGTGACTGGTATGCCACAAAGAGAGCTTTCTACGAAAAACAAACAACTTTGCGCTATATTTACATATGCGACTCGTTATCAGTGAAGGACAATTAAAAAACGGGCTTTCCTTTCGCCACGTCGTGTTGAAATCATAATCTCATAATAGAATCGCCTAGCGAGATTCAAAATGAGTCTCAGGACGTAAATATCGCGCTAGAAATGTCTGACTTTGGGGGAAGTTCAATTCGTGACATATGTGTCCTATTCAGATACTTACAAAAAATTGGGAGTTCGATGCCACTTTACTTTGTCGACTGTCTCAAGACGCAGGACAATTAAACTTATATTTCTGTTGTTCGAGGTTTCGTAAACACGCCAAACGGGCAGGAATTAGTGCCACTAAATGAGGTACGCTGTTTAAAGATTTGTGGAGAACGGAAAAGCGTTTACTGTGATTGCAGACAAAGCTTCATATAACGGGCAACCATGATTTTAAGCCACAAGATGCGTAAGTGTCTTGTAAGTGCGTAAGAGCGTAAGTGTCGTTACTATGAAGCGTATAGCTCATTTTATGGCACTACGTAGCTAGCCCACTCGGCCACCGATTCCCCCCCCCCTCTCCCGAGCCAGTTGCTCCAGTGGCACGCCTGTTTTCCATGCGCCGCCGCCGTCGCTGTTCGCCGAATTCAATCACGTGCCAAACAAAAATCCCGTCCTCTGCAGGAATGTCTCCGCTACGGCCGCTCCGCAGCTTCGTCAGCTGCTAGCCGCTAACTAGCCATTAGTCAACTGTGCTCATGCTCTTTGCTTTTGAATGAGGCCGTATATCATTCGCATATTATACACTTGAGCATTGCGACGACGACGAAGACAGGCGGTGGTCTACAGCCTGCCTAGGTCTTACCTGATTGCAGGCAATTTGGGTATGTTTTAGAACGCAGCTCCTAGGCGTCCGTTTCCGGGTTGAGAGGCGTTGGCGTCCCCGTCGGCGTCGGCGTAACCGCGCAAATTTTGCGGAAAACTGACATCGCGTGGCCTCAATAACAATTATTATCTGTTATCCTTGAGGTTATATGATTATTATTTTTAGTCCTGTCATGTACCTAAATATGTCGCCATATGCCTAATATATATTATTAATTGTTATCTTTGATAGTGTGATTAATAGTATTTTTTTTTCCTTGATGTTAAAAGCGTGAAAACTGTAAATATGAACACTTGATATGTAGTATGTCGCCGTGTGCCAATTGTAAGGCTGCAGAGGCCTTGTCAAGTCAAAATTCTGACTTTTTGACCCCGCATCCTACATCAGTTTCTGATGCCAAATAATGGATTGATTGATTGAATTCAATTTCCGGCTAAATTTAGCAGGGAAAATGACATCACACGACTTGGTGTCACGTCACCTATGAACAAATTTAGTTTCTCCGCTAGATTTAGCGGAAAAATGGACGCCACGTGACCTCAACAGCAATTCAATTCCACGCTAAATTTAGCGGGAAAATCGACGTCCCGTGTTGAGGAGGGGAGAGGGCGAGGAGGAGGGGAGGAGGAGGGGTAGGGGAAGAGGAAGGTGAAAGGAGGACGAGGAAGGGAGAGAAGGAGTAGGGGAGGAGGAGGGAAGATTGGAAGGAGGTGAGAGAGCAGGAGAGGAGGGGCACACCCCCCCCCCCCTCCGTACCCTCCCTTCCTCCTCTTCAAGAGCTGCGCTCTAATTTCGCGTTACTAAGTTTTGTAAAAACGTCTGTCTCAGGTTTCAATCATAATGTACAGAGATCTGTGAATGTCTACTTGAAACAGCCTGAGTTACGACGACTGAAGCGTCGTAACTCAGGGTGTGTTCCAAAATTTACTCGATCTTCGTCTTGTACTTTGGCGTTCGAAAGCCTAACCGCGTCCAGCGCTTTTCTATCTGTGTTGGCACGTGTCACGACCCGTCCAAGTGACTCGGGTCCTTTTGGGTAAACGTTAGAACACAGCCTCAAACACGTGGTTTATTGAGAGACACTGGCAGGGATGATTTCGAGGCCAGCAGTAATACTATCGCGTCCAAAAAAGCGGTCCCAGAATTTCCGCTTGATGACGTCATAGAGGTGTCACGCTGTCGCCGACCGCGATCCTGGCGGTGTAACAGCAGCGGCGGTTGATCTTGCAGACACCTGTTCTGCCGCGAGTCGCACTCCAGGGCCTCCAAACTCGTCTAACACAAAGTTGGGGTCGAAGTTGACGGTGCGCAGCAATTGGCCTATCTCGACGAAGACTTCGCGCTTCTTTCGCCGACGTCCAATCGACGCGCTCCGCGAACTTTCGGCTTGAACTTTGTGTTTGGCGAGTTTAGGGCCCCAGCTTGACAGTCCACGGAAGTTTGGGGGGATCGGTGACCGAGTGGGCTAGCGCACACCAGCTCGGAGCACGTGGAGCGAAAGCTCGCGTTGCAGAACCCACGATCCTGGGGTCAATCGCCACCCCTGCCCGTTTTCAACTGGATGAGCATCGTACCGGCGTGCGATCGTGTTTCACTACTGCGTGCTGCACGTGAAAGACCCCAGGCTGGCGATTGTACTGCACTGGCTAAATGTCTCATCTATAGCTGGAGGACAAGTGGCCCGTTGAGGCAGACCAAGTTCTAGGCTGTATAAACATACACACAATCATTTTTTTTTCACGAAAGTTTTGGCAGTCGGAAGTTGGGACGCGGTGACGACAGCGACGCTCGTGCTTTCCGCCTGCATTTCTACGATCAACCTCCAGGATCACCGCATCCTACAGCACGACACTCTGGCTTTTTTTACGTCATTTGTTGCCACTTCGGGGCCATTTTCGATGTGTGGGCGGAGTACGACGCTAAACACATGACTGGGGGACTTCGGGCGCCTTAGGGAGACTCGTTATACGATAGTAATAATGTACCCTGTCTTATTTCTCTCCATTTCTACAGGCGTTGCGCTTGGACAACCTGCCACATCGTGCGAATCGGTAAGCATTTTTATGAACAAAAGTTATGAAAGCAAATGGCATTCCCAGTGGCATACAAAAAAAAAGCAGTGTTCGTATTAACTACGTCGTGTAGTATATATAACCGTATTTCCATCCGATAATCCTCTATCTAAAATTGACGCATCGATCGCCAATAAAGGATGTAAAATTGACTCATCGATCGCCTTAGAATGGCCTGTTTACTTTAAAACACATAATAGTCATGCATCAAGTGGAAAAATAAATTATGACGTAGAAGATGATTCCCAGCTGGTACCACTAATGCCCGTCTCCCTCTAGAGCGACAGACAGCGACAAAAGACAGCGACAAGCCTCAAACACATGCAGCACGCTCGCGATGGTACCTTTGGCAGGCGTTTAGTCGTTCGGTGCTCGTGAAGTAAGCACGAGCGATTGCCTGCCAAAGATACCATCGCGTGCATGATGCTCGTGTTTCAGAATAGCCTCCTTTATTCTACAAAGCCTCTCAAATTGCGAAAGACTCTGATTGAGGCTCGCCACTGTCGTTTGTTTCTGTATGTCGCTCTAGTGGGACAGGGGCATAAAGCCCCTCGATGTGTTTCCGTTTGTCTTGCAAGTAGTGTCAAACACGCAACTTCACCAAGCCCGTGTGTCGAGCGGCCCTTGGCTGTGGCGTACCAACTTGTTTATGAGTGTGTGTGTGTGGGGGGGAGAAGGGGGGGGGCCACACAAGACCCCCCCCCCCTTCCCCCAGGGCCGGGGGCGATCCCTCGAAGTCCCTTGGGCGCCGCTGGCCAGTGTTTTCCCTGCCCAATGGCGGCTGTTTCAGGGAGGTGCAAAACACATGTATTGCCCTCCCACTCTGAGAACTGGGGAAGGGGGGGGGGGACAAGCCCCCCCCCCTTCCCCAGTTGGTACGCCCATGCTTGAAAGCGTGAATTTTATTGAGGGACTTTAGGTACCACATGTTTCCCGAGTGTTTTTTTTTTGTATTAGAATGCACTTATTAAAGCTTAATTTTTTATGCTGTATTTGTATGACACGCACCAAAGCAGTTACAAAAGCAACTCACCTCAACCGAATAAAGAATTTGTTTACTCGATCTCTGATCGCAATGCTCGATTTCTGATCCCAACCCCTATGCTCTTCGAATACCGATCCAGATGTATGCTATGCCCTTATCATTGTACAGTTTCTTTTGTTGTTATATATATATAGCCGGTTAAAAAGAATGTAGTTCCATCGGCTTACTACCAGAGGTACCAAAACCGAGTTCTTCCCTGTAGTTTTGATGAGACTCACACTTCGCGAACTCTACTGAGTGACAATTTAAGTAACACAGAGTGCGGCGAGTTCCGTGCATCTCATTCTCGTTCCTCAGCCAACCAGATTCTGGCGTCAACCGATACGAACTTCGAAGAGCTAATCACAAAGCAAAACGTATTAACATAAAAGGCCATGCCCAGTGTTTCTTACGCTGTCAGTGGCCACGCCGACGATTATATTACTCGTAATGTTTCCGATAACAAAATAATCTTGCGGCAGTCAACTGACGGTTGCTTACCAAGCGCGTGCCCAAATAAAACAAAGCTCGAAGCACATAAAAAAAGCACTGGTGCACAGATGGCAACTTGACCAAGTATGGGAATTGCGTGACGATTATGCCCACGTGACTGGAGCAGCCAGCGAATCAGAAGGCCAGATGCGACACTTTTCAATTCATATGGTGGTTTTGGGAGCATCGAGCGACCTTTCTCCTTCACGCTCTTATTGTAAGCTTTCTGAGCTTGCTAGGTAACGAGGGAATGTGCTCGTGTGTGTTCCAGGACACCGAGTGTGCTGGAGGACAGAGATGTGTCCTCCATGGCAACTATTCCCGCAGAGCCAACTGTGAGGTGTACCGGACATGTGAGTTCTTTTTTTTTTTTTTTTTTTGGCGTGCTTTTATAACAACTTTTAGTAAACATTTGTATGTTTCGTGGTGAGAGCGTTTCTAGGTGTAAAATCTTACGAAAGTACCACACATAGGGGAGAACACGGACAGCACATCTTGCGCTGTTTGTGTTCTGGCCTTTCTGTGTAATTACTTCGTAAGTTTTAGAGCGCAGCTCTTAGGCCTTATTCACACAGCCGGCGTTTCGCCCCGTCCCGGCGAAAGCGCCGTGGGCGCCGTGCCGAAAACGGGACGGTGCGGGGACGGAGGAGTGTTCGAACCAGCGGCGGCGAAGCTGCCGGCGATGCTGGCGGCTGCGCCCCCTTATATTGGGCGGTAGCTTGCGCCACCTAGCTTAGAAATCTTCGTGCACCTTTCACATTCCGCTTCAACGTTTGTATCTCGTAAAACTGTATAACCGGTATTACCTATTATTTCGTGCGCAATCACACACTTCCCTCCATCTTTATTACCAATCTTGTAATCCCGTATTTGTGGCTGCTTTGTGGCGGCGTGGACCACCAAATGTAGAGACGATCGGCGTCGACGGGCGAAGCCACAACTGTTTTGTTCCTCGGAGCTTGCGTTTGGGTCGCCGATAACGATCTCGCATGTTTCAAAACATTTTATTTGTCTCCACGTTTCGAAACAAAAACGACAAGACCCACCGCGCGCACGTTTCACATCAATCACTCCTTGCGCCGCTTTCGTCCACGATGATCGACGACCGTATTTTGTTTCTTCGGCTGTTCTTCCTTAAAATCGCATTTACGTCTATCACAAAGGAACCGATGTGGTCTCACCATTTCGAGCAGCAGCTCAGCGGTAAATCCAAATCTCTGCCCGTTGTTCAAGAGCCGTAAACATCACACAATGCGCCCGCCGTCTCGCTGGCCTCCATCCTTCCCGAAAAAAGCTTCGTTGGCTTCGCCGTTAGGGTGATTAGGGCGTTAGGGCACAGTACGGTCAACTCTCCCTCCCGGGGCCGTGCCCATGGTCACCCAACTTTTGCGAATCCGCCAGATTCAGCGAAAGTTTCCGATTTTGTGATTGGCCGTCCCTCGATGGGGCGGGGCGCCGGCGTTCCCGGTTTCCCGCCGGTGCCGGGGACGTTGAACATCCTCGTTCAGCTCTTTTCGGGTCCGGCGTCCCGATTTTGGCCGGAAACCGGTCCTAACACCCTCTCCCCCGGCGCAAAAGACGGCCGGCGTTTTCGCCGGGCCGGGAGAAAAAACGGCTGTGTGAATGAGGCCTTAGGCGCCCGTTTCCGGCTGGAGCGGCGTCGGCGTCGGCGTAACCAAGGTCTCCCCAAGGTTACGTGACCCCCAGGACACGTGACCCCTCTCAAGGTCACCCCTAGGTCACGTGACCCCCAAGGTCACGTGACCTTGGGGGTCACGTGACCTTGGGGGTCTTGGGGGTCACGTGACCTTGGGGTCACGTGACCCCCAAGGTCACGTGACCCCTCCCAAGGTTACCCCAAGGTCACGTGACCCCGCTCCCCGAGGTCACGTGACCCCCCCCCTCCCCCCCGAGGTCACGTGACCCCTCCCCCGAGGTCAGGTGACCCCCCCGGATCATATTAAAGAATGAGGGGAGGAGGAGGAGGGGTCTACCCTCCCCTCAGTACACTTCCCTCCTCCTCCTCAAGAGCTGCGCTCCAATTCGGCGTTACAGGGAGTTGTAAATGGCTTTCACTTTTTTAAGCCCTTTTCCTTCATTTGTCTGTGTATACACTACTACCTAATTATATTATGCTTGATTTTCTTCCTTTTCTTGTATACAGGTATCACTGTGACTAGTGATGGATGCACGGTAAGTGCTTTAATTGTTTTTCTAAAATAAACATTCCGTCTTTCATTGCCCGTGTGTCCAGCATAATCATGAAAATATCTGCGGCACGAGAATGACATTCTTTCAAAGTGAAACTCTTGTTTCAGTGCAATTCTGGCTACGCTTGCTATCTGAAAGACTGTCAAGAAGCTCCTTTCGAATGTGAGTATACTTCAAGCAAACACCATGTCGTCTATGAATACACGTGAGTAATATAATTGGCTGCAAACAACATGCCAATAAAAACGAGGTGGTACGTATTGTGGTGGTTTCTGTTCATGGCATGCCTTTCATGATGCTGAAGGGCTAAATGATGCCGTGATCGGAGTTCACAAAGGTACTGAGTAAGAAAAGATAAAAAATTCGAAAGATAAAAAAAAAATGTCTAATATAAAAATTCTCATAAAAAATGTAACTTAGTTATACTTGCAATTTATGCTTAAACTGACTTTTTTTAGTTACGATAGAGGTACAATAAGGTTGATTGATAAATTTATCAACAAGTTCAGTACTTTAATTTACAAAAACAAATAATTTTCTAAATAGTGTCCTGCATGCTACACATGTTCCGAATTCGGGCATACAAATACTAGTAAGACAGAGGTTTAATTTATAGAGCTCTAGGTGCGTGCGATTGCTTTGTTCTTCAGTGGGTTTAACATTCCTCCATGTTTTATCGCAGGCCTGCTTCTCGAGGACTTGAATACGAGGTGCGGAGGATCTGAGGTAAATATTGTAGCAAAAGGCACCTTCGTTTTGTCATTTTTAGTACATATGTTTCTTCCTTCGCTTAGCGTTGGAATAACCAGATTTAAAACATACAACATTTTATTAGTGTGTCTTCCATAATCTAAGTGAATGTAAGTTCACCCCAAATTAACCGATTATATGTCGTCGAATCACCGCGTCTATGCGATATTCAACCCAGCCGAAGGCGCTGGGCCTTTACTTGGAGTGCCATTTCTGGGTGCCTGTGTGCGTACTTAGGTTTCCCTCATCCTTTGATAGACGGTAGCAAAGCTAAAACCACGGTAATCAGATTTTTTTTTTAATTTATATGTTGATCATGTTTTGTTCTTTTTAATTTGTATGTTGATCGCTTTAAGGCTTTGATATAGACAGTGTAAGAATCTTTATCTTGATTATGTTACAGAGAAAACTATTGAGTGAGAGTGTCGTTAACCCTATGGTAGCTCGTTTGTTTTCACCCAGATGAAATATCTTTATAACACGCATTATTCAATAAAGTGTTACTTATTCGTACTTAGCCATTTGGTCAACTTATTTGTTATTTTAGACACAGTCGAGCTGAAGTAGAGGGCGAGTCACGAAAATAAATCTGGGAAACTTCCTAACATTGACTTAGCTGGGCGTGTGGAGTCTCGTATAATACGCCTTTCCTCGTAAGAACAGAAACAGGCAGCACTGGATATTGGAGAGCAATTTCATTGCGCACCAGTTACTCAGCAAACATTTTACGTGAGCTCACTGATTAAGTCATCAAATTTATTTTTTACCACTATGTCCACAAAAACGTTCGTACCTTCTTTTTCACATTACATATGTTTGTATCCACTGCTTGGCAGCCTGCTTGTATACTGCCGAAAAACAAAAACTGCTCTTAGCCTAATTAAATAAGGTAGCCGACTTACTTTTCTCGGCGACCACACTAAAACTCGACGAGAGTCGATGCGAAGCCGCAGAGGCTTCCGTCTTGGCGACGTCTCGTGCTAGCGTCGTGCTCGTCGAGAGGAGACGCTGCAAGACGCGTTTGCAGCGATGCTGACGCTCTTTATCACCTCTTTCAAGTTTAGCAGAGTGAACGCTGAATAGAGAGTTGCCTTCTCTCCAGCGTCCGCTCTGCTAAAGTGGAAAGAGGCGGGAAGAGCTTCCCTGCGTTGTCTTCTATAGGTGCTATTGCTTCAGGTCAAGGTTAGTTTACGACGCAAATAAACACACAGCCTCCTCAAAAGCTTGGCTACCTAAGTGTCTGATACCTACATAAATTCGCATTTAAGTGCTTTGCACGCCTTTAATTGACGGAATTATAATTTCTATGTTTGTATGCTGACTCCGAACACATTAGGTGTCGGCTTACGCCGAAATGCCCTTATAAATAAGTAAGGAGCTGACAAGCTGGAGAGAGTGACATATATGATGGTATTAACATTTAGACTGAAATAGGAAACAGTAACGACTAGAGTAGTTAGTAATCAAAATGTGGCGTCCACTTGTTTCGCTTTGTTATTTCGGTGTCTTGGTTAATGTTAACATTATTGGTTTGTTATTGCGTAGAGGTTTTTGTTTTCGTGCTATTCTGTTTGGTTTATTAGAATGTATATCGTACACACCTATGGTAAGATGCATGCAAATGGAAAGCCTGGTAAAATGTGTTTTGGGATGTCATTCCAGGGGCCAAGGTGCGCAACCAACGAGATCTGCGGCTATAGACGCACCGGCGTTGTCTGCATCAAGTGTCCTTGCTACGGCACAGACGAAGCAGTCTGTGAGTAATGAGTTACCTTTTTGTTCGTGCCCTCTCTGTCATCTGCTATCCTGCTGATAAGTTTACTTAGGAAACAACTTGAGTTAATTCCTACACATATGTTGGTGCTAAAGGAAACACTGACACGATGGACTGAAAGAACAAAATGAATGACACAGAAATTCAATAACCCCGCCATGCAGTATCAAAGTATTGCATCAGTCCCTGCCTTGAGGTTAGAAATCATTTTAAACCTGAAGATATTTATTTTCATAAGATATTTGCTTATGTCCGGGGCCTGTTCACAGCACAATCGAGTTGACTTAGCGACAGAAGGAAATGGCAAACTGGGTGATTTCTTCCCCGGTTGCCAAACTTCTTTGACGCTTTTGTGTATAAACTGACTTCTTCTTCAGCCGTATGTCCGTGAAAAAACAAGAGGCACTCATTTTCATCAGTGTCAAAATTCAGTAGAGGCTGGAATTACAAATATCTACATTCTCTGACCTATCTTTGAGCTCATGGTATGGTAGCACGGAAGCATTTAAAAAATTAAGAGTTCCGACTCAAAGCTAAATTTGCTCGATATAAATAAAGCAGAGACGGACGTGGCCATCTCGGCCATTGTATGCTCTGCTACAGTCTTTGACATATAAATCAGCAAGTAGCCCTACGGCGTCACTTACAGTATTTGTCTCCTAAGGTCGCAGTACCCCTAAATTAGAACGATAAACATATAGTATAAATAGCAAAGCCTCTCACCGGGACCCCTTAGAGCCAAGTTCGATACTAGTTTTGATTGATTTATTGTGTTTGTGCTGGTAGCTACCAATTCAGAGCAACATACCAGCAGATAAGATAACAAGCCTACCCGAGCATTGCTAGGTTCCTCGGTAGGACCAGAATTCTTCGGGACTTCTGGCAATAAAACGATTACCAACTACGTCTTTCTCAGTGCCTTTTTACCGACCTATCCGTGAGCAGATACTTTCATGACTTTTTTTTTTTTTTTGTGTGTAAGTCCAACGCACACCAAGATTTCAGCGACATTTCATGCTGATAGCGGTGTAAGCAGTGATATGATCTGACACGCGAGCGTGGCTTAGTTTGTTGGAGGTAGCAGACGTACATGTAAAGATTTAATGAATGATTTAACACGTGCTTTAAACCTCTAGAAATATGACAGTGTGGTAAGTTATGGCGTATCGATTGCAAATTCAGGTGTGCCCAGGGACCCACAGAAGGTGTGTCACCCCAAAGCCATGGTCCAGGTTGAAAGCAGGGGGTCAACTGGCTATGTGTGCAAGCAGTGCGCATCCCACGCCTCGGTCCTGACGGCCCGATCTCGCCAGCCAACTGACTAGTTGTAACTAGTAAGGCACAAAGCGCTTAAGTGCCTGAGAGACGTCGAATGACTGCTAAAATCCAGATGCAGCATGGATCAATAAATATATGAATGAAAGTGCTAACCAATAAAATATGGCACGAACAAATTCTTTTTATGGTCCACGTTGTTGCGTGATTCACGTTAAATGCCGGGTTATCAACTGCCATGGCCACATTGCCACTGTCAGCTCACACAAGTCACAATTACTAGAAGGGAAATAAAACTACTTTTGAAAAAAGTGGCTTACCATATAAATCGATATCAGTCAGCTAATGTCGAAATAATTCCTGCCTTATATATATTACCGCTGTTACGATCGGCGTTCGAATCATGCCTGTGATCCGGCGGAAGAGAACTCAAGCTGTCGTGGATTGCTCTCGCAAAACTTTCCCATCGGTGAGCGACGAGCTTTTCAGGACAGCCGTCATCCTACGCTACCACAGGTGTTCGATCAACCTCCTCGAACTCTGATCTCTGTGAAGTCGTCCGACCGGCGTCGTAGACTCGTTGTGAAGTTTTCACCCGCCCGAACGCAGGAAACGTTTGGGGCAGGGTTATCTGAGCTACCCGGTAGAGGAGAACGGCATTCAGACAATCAGATCAGCCGAATGTCTGCGAGACAGTGTGTGAGATCGCCTTACGTCTGTGTGTAATATTGTGATGGGAAGACAGAAGGGTAGCAACAACTATATTTTCACATAGATTGGTTTCCTTCTGACGACATAGGGGTCCATACCTGGGGACCAAGGGAAAATCCGTAGTATAAAAACATCTGACTAAAGGTACCACCCCGCCTCTCGGTTGTCGCCTTTCAACCACTTTACTTGTATATATTATGTAAATAAATGAGGATTGTACGAGACCCCGCCTCCTGTCGCTCCTGCCCTGGGCCAGGTTCGGCTCCTGACAATCGCAGCCGAGTTCATCCAGCCTGGGAACCCCTTGGTCGCGACACCGCAAAGGTAATGTGGCTGCAGCCGCGTTTGCAGTTTGTGCACCTTCACTACGCTGAGTTTTTGAGAAGCCGGGAACCTTCAAAACAAACCAAATTCAGTACTTTTTATTTTAAATAAAACAGAGAGCTACACCCCCTCCCCCTCAATTTCCGCGTCAACTTCTACTGCAGCTAAATTTAAAAAAAAAAAGATACAAAAAACGAAACGAGCGTCTACAAAACTGCAGAATGAAGTCAACGAGGCAATATCCCCAGCCGCGTGATGCTTGGTATACACTTCATTTCGATACGCACGTTACAACTTTTATTCTTCTTTTTTTTCGAAGCATACGCGTATGCAGTTACAAATGTCGTAAGTAAAAAAAGAAACTGCCCTTTTTTTAGCAAATGACCTTAGTGGCCTTCTTGATCACCTCACATAATTAGTACAATGTGAGCCTGGTTACGTCACAAATCAGGAACACTGATGATGGTCACGACTCATGACGCATTCAGTGGTAATTCAGCGGAAATAAGTACGGCATGACTCATGTTTTGCAGTGCTTTGCACTGCAGCCGGCGGGTCAAAAAAATCAACAACTTCATCAGTATCAAGATAGAACACCGCGTAGTCGGCACGCTGACTCTCTTGTGCAATCAGTGGTATGCCGTCGCTTCTACGACGCATCACTAAGGTTGCGGTCGTTGAGCTTCCTCGGTGTTCCTTTGACGTAACGCTTTTCAAGCATGCCACGCAGCGTAATACAAGTCTAGGCAAGATGGGGTCACATTTATTTTGACAAATAAAAGGTGGTGCCTGTTGGTAAGGTTGCCTCGGCACAGAAAGAATAAAACAGAATCGGGACAAGAGATGAGGAACATATATTTCAACTCGGAACAACATGAAAGCCTTCTTTGCAATTCCACCCGGCAAATTTAAAAGAGAAAGAGGAAAGTGTATACATAAAGTTATAGATATTTTTTAAAAGATAATAGATGACTTGAAACAAAGGCTGCAATATCAGTTTGAGGGCAAGTGATTAGAAACTACGCTCGTTCCGAAGGCAAGTAGGCGATCTCGTTTCTGGAAAGAACAAGTGATGGCGCAGACATGTTATTGTCAACAGTGTTCATGGTGAATGATTCAATGATTTCCCTGCCAACTTTGTTAATATGCCCTAGCAAATTCTAGTGTTCTCAAAACATGGAACGCTGTTATTGCATGTGTGGCATGCCCGACAACGGGGTGATAGGACTCAGCTGAGCGTCGTGACACTTTCAAATGATGCTTTTTGTACCTGTGGTTGACACACCTTCCCGTCTGCCCGATATAGACCCCTTCCGAAAGTCACGTGCCGATTAGCAGAAAGCCGGAACCACTGCACAATGGCGGAATAACTGCCTCCAGAAACGTGCAAGTAATTTCATAAGACAGCAAACGTCGGAGCGTGGCCAACACTACGAGCCGACGAGCCAATCAAACAGCGTCGAAAGTGGAACGTTACTGTGCTCATCATCGCTTTCTATGGTGTCTTTTTTTCCGGTGTGCCGCGACGTTGAAGTTTCAGTCCACCATTCTGCAGGAATTCCACAGCTGCCAATAAAGGGCAGTATTTCGAAAGGGTTCAGTTTATGTTTCCACTTATTCCGTTCGCTTCACTTCATCATTTCCAGAGCAGGACAGGTTATTGTCACGTTATGTGCCACTGTGCCCTCCTCCCCAGCATAGGCCTTTGTGGAGGCTTGTCAACGTCTGCTTCAGTAGTTCGGCATCTCGGTAAGACGAGAGAAGGTCGGCAATGGCGGCCCTAAACTCGCGAGTGAAGCATCTATTCACTTTGACGCAACCCGAAGGGTAAAATAAACTTTTTTTTCTTAGCACAGGACGAACCTCTTAGCGTGCTTAACATTGCTTAACTGCAGCTTCTTGCGAATACTTACGTGTTGACGAAGCTCATGAAGGCGCTTTCTACAGGAAAAAAAAAACATTTTTATGGAACCAGGTGGCAAGAGCCATCAAACGGTGGGGTGCATTGTTCACGTACGGAATACGCGCAAATCGATCCAGCCTCTTGTTTTTTGTTGCAGAACGCGGACGAGTAAGGTTAAAAATGAACCTCTGCGATGTATTCCTCAAGAGCTCCGTTAGATACCCCGCATTTCCCAGCCTAAATTTTTTCTCCGATCAGTAAGGATATGACTTTGAAAGATACGTTCGTCGTTCCTTGTTCCGAATTTGTTTCGGTGTCGAGTTGATTCTGACAGCACGGAAATAATGTCATGGTTCGTTAGAAACGCCATCTTGCCACATGATATTCCCAGCGAACCTTTGAATAAAACCGCTAGTACTGCCGTGTCTCACCCATGTACAGAGCTACTAAAACTGAACCCGAAAAAGACACACGAGCATGGGCTTTTCACCAGGACATCATGATGTCCCGAAAATAGATTAATCACGTTTTCTGTGACTCAGGATGGAGCAAAGTGAACAGAATACAAAGAAACAAGAAGGGCAGTTATGTATGCTCTATTCTGTCGCTGCCTGTTTACACCTATACTTCATCTCACAACTTGTGTGCAGCTCTGTGAAAAACACCGCAGCAGACTGCTGCTGTCCAAAATGTCCCATTTTGGCTAAAAAAGACCTGCGCTACGTCTGAACGGGCACAAAACCACGTTGTACATACTCCCGTGTTCCCTCCCCCCCCCCCCTCTCTTGCCTCCGCACACACACAAACACAACATTGCAGATGTATTTTCAAGTGAAATACAAAGCTTACGGTAAGATGCAATTGATCTTTCTGTTAACAAGAAACGAGCGCAGACCACGCCTTTGAGTGGCAAAACCTCGAAATTCAACTCCTTGACGCCATATAGGAAATATAAACATCAAGCAGGAGTCATTGAACCTTTCAATAATGCGGCTGTGACGTTCATTGAAAAACAAAATTAAACTATCAAGACACTATGACATTAAGCACTGAAACTTTGCGTTTAGTTGCTCTTTGTCGGATATCCGACGTCTATGTGATTAATTTGACTAAGGTGGTATGTTTCTGATCTTGTTTAATTTTTATTCAATATGTAGACTATACCAGGGGGTTCATATCATATGAGCGAATGACATTTTAGCGAACAGCGACATTTGAGCGAATCGACGTTTCAGCGAAAAACGGGGGCGTGCGTTAACCCATCCGCCGCGCTGCGCTTTACGCCACTTCGCGGCGACAGTCTGCGGCGGCTCATTACAAAAATGTGAACCCATTTGGCCCACCCAAAAACGCCACTTCGCGGCGTCCGACTATTCGCTAAAGTGTCATTCGGTGGAACGTGGGCGTTCGCTAAAACGTCATTCGATCAAGTGAGTGCCTCCCCCATACCAGGTATGACCAGTGTGTCAATATTAAAAGACCACGATAAAGAGTACGTAAAGGAACGCTCCATATAAATGATGCTCAACTGCTAAGACAACTTTTATCATGGCCGATGTGTATTACGAAATGGATAGAAACCGAAAAGTGTGTATATGTGTATATGGCGTCGCCAACACGTGACCTCGGAAGCAGGCTCCCCAAGACGCGGTTTCTGCAAATGTTATCAGCATCAGCGAGCGTCAACAAGAGAAAAGGAAGACTCGCGATACCCGTTACGAACGAAAAAACACAAATAAAAACGGCTCAAACGCAAGAAACATTATCTGGAGACTTGCACGCAAAGCTAGAGCCACTCTGTCGTTCTTTTTGGAAGCCTTTCATTTGGCTCCGTAGAGTCACGCGACGACCGTTGAGGGAGCCTGGTTTGGCACGCACGAACAGTTATTTTCTAAACATGGACGCGTCATCGGTTCTTCTGGCCATAGCCTGTCTTTGCGTCGCAATTTCCAGTAAGTCTGCTTTCATTCTATTGACGCCCGCTTTTCTGTTCTACATTGTGAAGACCAGCGTAGTCTCCCCAGTGCTGCAGCCGCCCACTGTGAAACCAGCCACCATAGCAACAAGAAGCCACCCTCTCCCTACTCCGTTCACCTTTAAGCTGAGACTGCAGTCAATGCCACAAGCACGAGAGCCCGAGGCCACTGCTTTGCAGCGTTTTCCGTAGAACGAGCGCTCGCGCTAAAAATGCGTTTCAAAGCCAGCAGCACGGACTAGCTAGCGCTTGTAGCTTTTGCTGCAGTCTCAGCTTAAGGGTGGACAAAGTATAGTAGTGCAGTAGCGCACTGCGATAGTAGGTGACTTCTTCTTGCGTCTCAATAGCAACAAGATGACAACGGCAGTTCTCACCTTATGAGCGACTATTGACTTCTTTTTTTAGCATAAGTGCAGGGCTGCCAACTTGTAAAGTCAAAATGTCCCTAGCAAACGACTGAAATTTTCCTATTTCTGCCGAAATTTTCCTTACTTGCCCGAAAAATTACATAACACTAAGTATTCGTTGTTGTTGTTGTTGTTGTTTTTATCACTTCCATTGTTACGATGAGAGATATATTATGTAGCCTTTACGTCTCGAGTATGTTTCGCAAAAATGAGTTTATCGGGCCAAATACGTGTCCAAAGCAAATCTGGCGAGATGGAGTGTTACTGCGAGAGATTCAAACTGACGAATGAAACCTTAACTTCGTCTTAGATGTTATGCACTCCATCAGAACATGGTACTGTTTAATAACTTCAGTAACGCTCTTTATAATAGTTAGTCCAAAACAAAAGGTGCAACACAAGCCAGAGTTCTCAAACGCGAACACACGGAACAGGACAAACAGTAATTAACATTTCGTGCATGGCACTTCACGAAATATTACAAGTCATGGTAAGTCTGTATCTCCAGACAGCGCAGTATTTCTTCGTGTTCGCAAGCTTTCATTTTCGAAATCGCACAGCGGGCCTCTCAGAAGCTTCCACTTGGCTGCTCTCTTTCTCCATAGTTTCTACAGGGGAAATGATGAAAATAGATGAAAATTGTTTTTGCCGGAAAAAAAAACGTTGTTCGAGTGATCCTCAGTGCTTCCAGATGGTCGCACAACAAATTGCCAAACGGCTGGACGAAATAACCTTAATGTAGCCAAGGACGCTAATATGCAATGTTATCTCAAAATAAAATCATAATTGATTTATAAAATTACAGATATATATATATATATATATATATATATATATATATATGGTTCCCAAAATGTCCAATGACCTAGCAAGATTAACCTTATAACCACAAATACCTGAATTTTACCTTAATCTAGTTCGCTCGGTAATCTTGTTACCTTAATCCCTCGGGTCGGCAGCCCTGCTTGCACGGGACATCGTCGCATCCCAGTGGTGGTCGTGGTGGTCGTTCTGACTCGTTTTAGCCGAGAAAAATTAATTCTATGGTGCGAAATTTTTTCTGCAGAAGGTATACCCAGTCAGCAACAAGGCCATGACAATGGCTGTCGATGTGACGTCAATCCAAGCCATGTATAACTGTTATACCTAGAACGCGTCTGCGCCTGGTGTGTCGAGCATCTTATCTCACCCGTAGATCAAAAGTTGTTCCGAATGTCCAGAGGTGGCAACAATCGACGCTAAAAAAGCGGGTGTGTCACGCTGTCGGATGTCGCGATCCTGGCGGTTGGTCGTAGAAATGCTGGCGGAAAGCACGAGGGAACGCGAGTGTCGCTTTTGTCGTGGCATCCCAACTCCTGGCCTCTGAGGCTTCCGTGGAGATTCAAGCTGCAGAGCAACCTGCGGGAAAACAGGCCATATCCACCACCGTTGCAGTGACGGAGGGAGATACTCGATTCGCAGAGCGATCCTGGTAGCGACACCGACAGGGTCGCGACCGACACCAACGTGACACTTCTTGACGTCATCAGGCTGAAATCGAGGGACCGCCTTTTATGACACGGTGAACAAACCGTGTCGTAAAGATGTACTAGGAACCATGGTAGAACAAAGCGGTGAACACACCAGTCGAAGATGCTTTCAAAGAAGCATAATATAACTATACGAGAGACCGTTTTCAAAAGTCCGCGCCAACGCCTTTCCGCCATTGCTTGCTCAGATACTCTGAGCATGTATTCGACACGAGGCCTGCGTCATCATTCGGTGTGAACTCGGCTCCGCTCGTATCTAAAAACGAGTGTGACGTCAGTGTTCGACGATGACTCGGATCCATTCAGGCGCTTCGGGAGAAAATCATGGTTACCGCCAATGTTGCTTGATGATCCTCTGAAAAGGGTTCAAAGGGAAGCAAAGGTTACAGGTGGGAGACATATGGACTTTGGAACGTGCATCTGTGGCACATACGCTTGCGCTAAAAGGGTGTGTTTCAAGGCGAGAAATATGCGCTGGCACGCGCTTCTTTCATGTCATGCCCAAGTTTGCTTTTGACTAGTGATGCTCACATCCTGAGGGTCTGAATGTAAAGCCCCTCGGTGTGGTTGGACAGAGCCACTAATTAATCTAATTGTAACCACACTTCAGCTATTGTGGCCAGTTATCTGCATGAAGCTTCCTGGTGCTGTATCTAAACCTCGACCAGTGGCATTTTCAAATCGTAACTTCGCCGATTGCACCTGCTCTGAACTAAACACCAAGATGGCGACGCCAACAATAAAATCGGGGAATGCCGTGCCGACATTCTAAGTCTAGCACTTGTATAAGCGCGAATTTTATCGAAGGTCTTAACACGAAGGTGATTGTCCTCTTCTGGTTTGTGGGCTTTATATTTATAACAATGTCAGAGTTACTACCTCATCAAGCTTGCATAAAAATTTGTTTCGTTCTTTTTTTCTGCAGGTGGTGTCTTCGGGCAGACTCCCACGTCCTGTGAATCAGTCAGTGCTTCAGAAACTTTTTCACTATTTTATCGGTAGACCTAATTTGATCGGCCACAATCTGCATCTGTAGAAGCTGCTTTTTTGGCACTAAATATGCTCTATGTTAGAGATTCCAGCATAACGGAAGACACCTCGCGGGAAAACGTTGAATTGGCCGGAACAGGTCCTTTCGCGATTTTCTCTCATCTCTTGGGGCTTCCGTGATTCCATGTTATCGGTGACTGACCCCATAGCCGGCCGCCGAAGTAAAGTGAGGGAAGTTGCGTCAGTTAAATCATAATTGTGTTGTATGCTTAGCGTTAATGGGCGTCTGGTGTCCCAGCTGTAGGAAAGAAATTTAGCCAGTGCAGTACAACCGCTAGCGTCGGGTATTTAACAGGTACCACGTCGTAGTAAAACACGAGCGCATGCCGGGACGATGCTTATCCAGATCGAAACGGGCAAGGGTGAGGACGTTGGGGAAGATTGAACCCAAGATCCGTGGGTTCTGCAGAGCGAGCTTTCGGTTCACGCGCTGCGTGCTGCGGTACCCCGATGTGCTCAAAGAAACAACAAAAACACCATAAGACATTTCACACTGTGAAGGTGGATGACCAGCGAAGCTGTTCAGCACACGACACAAACCCGCGCCGAGGAGTCGGAGGAGACTAGACACGCGCGACGGGACCGCCACCGCGGGAGAGCGAAAAGAAAGGAAACTAGGCACGCACGCGCTTGAAACGACGACAAAGAGAGCGCGGTGAGGGCGTGGACATGGCCGACGCGGGTCGCACAGCGGAAAATCTTTGGGAAACCTTTATTATCTACCCGAGAGTCTACTGATCTTGAAAACGGTGCCTATTGATGACTAATCTACTGAAAATGCATATCCAAGTGATGAGACGCATAAGCTTCTGCATAGAATGAAGTGATTTTGCGTCAAATTCGGAACCTGAGTTTTTTGTTGACGTACACGAAAAATCTACGGAACCCTTGCCATAAACAGCTTCGGTGAAAAAAAAATGGACGCGATGACAGAGCCGCATGTAAAACGAACCTTGGGTAAAACCATGATCCACCACGACCCATGTAATAAGCCGCGCTTTGCGTTGCTTCTCACGTCGTGTGAGGCGAAGAACTGTCCCGGTCATTGTCGTTGCTGTTGTATCAACGTGTTGCCTATATAGGTTGCTCGGAACGCAACGTATACGCAACCGCATGAGCCAGACATGGAGCATTTATTATCGTTCATCAGCTCGGTAGAAGAACAGTAGGTAGTTCTTTCGTCACTTCTCCAAAGAAGGCCAAGACAACATCGCCGCAGGTTTGAAACTTAGTGAATACAAATCGGGGCAAACATTCATCAAGCCAATGCTTGCCTGGCGAAACCCGAGCGTTGTGCACTGAGATGGCACATGTCACTGCACAACTTGTTTTCGACCGCGGTGCTTTCCAGAGAGTGGCGAACCTTATAGGCCGCTGGAGTCGCGAAGATGGCGATTCAGGAAGATCTTCCATAATGGCGGTCACCGACCCACCATCACCCTTGCCAAGTTCTAGGTTCCGCTTCATCGCCATAGGGTGCCAGTGTGCGAGAAAATAAATCCGTGTCTTTCGGAACTGGAAAATAAACTACGCATTGCCGAACGTCTCCGCCAAAATCTAGCCGCTATAGCTGTTGCGTCTAGATGCAAATGTCTCTGAACATATCGTTATCCGAACCAAAGACCTCTGCTCTTTCTGACATATATTAATGACATCTGCTGAAATATTTCTTCAAGCTCTAAGCTTTTTTTGCAGACGATTGCCTAACATACAAAAGAAAAATGAGGATGACGAAGATTATTTTAAATTTCATCTAGACTTGGGCCGCGTGTCAATTTGGTGCAGCGACTAGCGAATAGAGCTGATTGTAAATAAAAAAAAAAGAGTTAGATTTTGAGAAAAAAAAAAAGAAGTATGGTCTGACACTGCCAATCAACGAACTGATAAAACAGATGCAATCCGTTATCTCAGTGTTATTTTTTCAAGCGACTTACTAAGAAATGGTCCTATTAATTTTATAACGAACAAGGCGAACAGCATGTTGGGATTTTTATGTCGTAATTTCCATCATTGCCCAAAAGAACTGAAAGGAACTTTATATTATTCTTTTTTTTTTCAGTCCTGGAATATGCATGCATAGTTTGGGACCCCCAAACTAAGAGCCTATGAAATAAATTAGAACGAGTACAAAGTCGCTGCGCCAGATTTGTCTTGAATAATTACACGTTTAAAGGGAGCGTCACGGCTATGAAAGAACAGTTACTCTGGCAACTGCTCTCATGCAGACGAAAGCATTTAAGATTAAAACATTTTTATTGTATATACAATAATAAAACTTGCATCAATAAAAAAAAATTACATCCGATGTTTTTTCTACGTGCCAGAAAAAGTTGACCATCAATACAAAACTGACACTATAAACTCTTGTAGATTATTTTTTATTCGAACAGCATTATAATGGGGAATATGCTGAATGAAAGTGTGTTTCCTTCTGTATTTTTACCTGAAATGTTTTTTGATAACCTCTCTCTGCAATAATGCCTCCAAGGTAATCTCAATAAATAAATAAAAAGGTATGTGCTACTCCCGTATATTTTCAACAAGAAAATGGCGGCTAACGAGTCCCTCTAATACATGGAGACGAATGGCATCTGCTATCCGGAACGAGCCCGCTTTTTTTATTTAATTTTTTCTTTTAAATTGTGTGTAGCTTGTAAATCAGATAAAGGTAAGTTGTGAAAATTTGCTAATGGGTCTGAGTCGGAAGCACTACATTTTGGACTGAGACTGAGCGAAATGCGGCGGAGCACCCGCTCGTGGCACATGTCGCGCTCAACCGAGCAAACATGAAGAGAAACTTTATGTGAAATATATCTGAATCCAATATTTTGAAGTCTTTGCCGGACGTCAAAATGCAACCTTTGCACATAGAACAAGAACATATATGACAGCGCCGAAAGTATTTTCAACACGATGAAATAAAAAGCGCACAAAAAAGCACGACAAAAAAAGACACGTACGGCAGACAAGCGCTTTTTATTTCAGCCTGTTTTGTTGTTTTATAGCGCTTTTGATTTCAATAAGAATCACTACCAACTAGCCCAGCTTTCAACCCTGCTGTAATTTCAACACAGTGGCTGTTTAAGATGTTTAGTTTTGACTGCTCACAAGTCTATATATCTATTCATTTTTAATGTTTAAACATAATCCTTAAGGATGGAAGTATTATTGCATGAGCAAACACAAAAAGTACATTGATTATTAACATCTATTCCTTGTATATTACGCGCAAAAACGGTAAATTATTCCTTCCATCAAATTTCGTTTTTATAACCATTGATCATAACTGTATAGCCGTGTACCTTTTCTGCATACTAGGTTGTTTTTTTTTTTTTTGTCTATTCGTTGTCTGTACATCCTCCTACCTGGGACCAGAACGTTGCGTATAGTCTCCTCTAAATAGAAATAAAAGTAAAACTGATGACAAATTTGGGTGTTGTATATATGACGAGCCAAAAACGCTGCATAGCGAAGTGTGCGTTTCTCTGACCTTTGATTCATTCTTTCAGGACGCGGATTGTATTCGAGGCCAAAGATGTGTGCTGCACGGCAACTTCTCTCAAAGTGCTAACTGCGAGACGTACCACACGTGTGAGTCATTAAGTTCACCCCTTACAATCGTACACACCTCACAAAACCCTTTTTTTCATTTCCTCACTTTTTATTTACGGTAATCTTTTATTTACAGGTATTCCTGTCGCTAACGACGGTTGCACGGTAAGTCTTTCTTTTGTACCTGTCACGTTTTCTTATTGGCTTGCGCCCCATTAATATGTTTGTATGCCGGCGTAGCACCACCGAGTATACCAACTTCCTTTGCCAGCTACCTCAATATTCACTTACGAAACGAGATTAAACTGAGGGAAAAAGGGAAAATGCTCCCTGGGACATCGGGGGGGGGGGGGGGGGGGGGGGGGGGGGCAAGCTCTAACTGGAACTATTCGTGGTTAGACGCGGAGCTAGCTGCGTCTAACCACTCTTCAAACGCGTTCCAGTGCCAGACACCGGCGACTTCCATTCGGGGTTCGCGTTCCAACGACCTCAAACAGTGCAGTGGAGTCAAAGGCAACTAACTAGTTTTGCGCCTCCACTATAGTCTATTTCACCTTATGAAGTACCGCAGGAAAGGCCACAAGCGCGAGCTCCTAGCTCTGGGGCAAATCTCGGCTGCACAAGCTCTCGTGCATAAAGGGCAGCTGCCAACGCTATGAGCTCGTGCTTCTAGCCTTCGCTGCGGTACAACATAAGGTGAAACAGAGTATAGTCATTCCAGTCAGAGTTCGGCGCTCCGACTTCCGAGGACGTGCTCATCACCCCCACCAGTCCCTCAGTGTCACTCCTTAAATAGACACTGACAAATAGTCGTCATAATCATCATCATAAACGTCACAGTCAATAAACGCAAGGCGTAGAGAGTCTCGAGAATCCAATGTGGAGCGCAAGTTCGTCTGCTTCTTTAGTAAGGGTTGTGGTGGCGACAGAAAGCCGAGCCCTGACTGGCTCTCATCGAAGGATAGTGGGTAGACCTCAAGGCAGCTTGCTCTGAGGTTTACCCACTGTCCTTCAATCAGAGTCAATCGGAGCTCGGTATTCTGACGTCCCCACAAACGCTGCAAAAGAAGCAGACGAACTTGCGCTCCACATTGTCGCTCCGTCGTCAGTAAGATTGCGGAGACTACTGCGTGATGCAGGGTAAAGTCCCCAGGCTGGCACAGCTAAAGATCTCCTCTTTTATGTGAGCTACAAGACGACACTTGAGGCAGCTCAACATTCCGCTGTCTAAATGTATCTGCAGCGCAGTTACGTTCACAACCCAGGAAGCCTGAACATAATACGTGCAGCCCCGCGTTACTTTCTTTTTTTTTTTTTTTTTTTTTTTAAGCTGTCGGACATTGATATTGTCGCTCGAATATACGCCAACTTAAATTCCTGCCTTCACGTCGTGGCGGTGGCGCTGCTGTCGGTGCTGCGCTTGCGCCGTCGCTTCACCTCGCTCGAATCTCGTTTCTGCGCACGTGAGATGCTCACACCTGAGGCGGGCAAAGGTGTGCCTGTTTTGTAAAACGGTGTGTTGATGTATACACGGTTGGCGTCTTTCAGCGCTGCCAGTGCTGCAGCTAAAGAAACGCGCAGCGCGAGACTAAAATACCGATCTTACCAGTCAGTTTGACTACGCCACCGCTAACACAATGCATCGAGGGAGCTGTAGTTTTTCTGCATGTGCGATAACCCCGCTGGAGCTCTGCGCGTGTAGAGTACGAGACGGCACGAGCCCTCGCATGCACGGCCACCTACCTCTTGTGAACTAAAGTTATGGCGGCGACACGCATGCGCCGAACACTGATTGAGAACGGTCTGTTATGATAACGCCTTTTGCTTTTGCGACGATTCCTTCTTTGTCGTTCTTACCGGCCAATGATGCAATCCCATCGACTAGCGCAACACATGCAAGTCCTTAAGCTGTTAGTAGACTTCTATGCTTCACTCGAAAAAAGGGAATCGATTACAATTACTTGCTCTTGTTTAAACAAAAATTATTCAATTAAATTACTTGATTCCTCAAGGAGAAAAGTATTTGGCCGTTACTCGAAAAAATAGCTTTTACTTTTTCAATTACTTAATGTTTTCAAAACGACAAATGTTTCCGCAAGTTCCAAAACGGGTCTCTTGTACCGTCCATTCGGATTACATTCACGAAACTATAAACTACTTACCGTCTTAATCTACCAATTTCGGTAAACCATCCTCCTGCCCGACACTTGGTTCGAGTCTCGAGGATTCCTTGGTACAGAAAGCAGTTCAAGCAAAGGGCGCAGTTAGGAGGGGAGGGGAAAAGAGTAACGACTGTATAGTAGTTCCAAAATTGATCGAATGACTGATTACTTCCTAATCAATGTAATAAAAGTGATTTCAAAAGTTACTCGAAAAAGTAACCAATTACGAGTACCTTTATTATTTCTAACCAGTACGGTAGAAGTCTGTCGCCGTCAGCTGCTACAGAGTAGGGCGTACATAACCTACTCGAGCAAAAGAAGGCCAAAGCGAGTGAGAATCAAGGGTCCCAAAATATTGAAAGAAAGCATAAATGCTCGCATACGAGGTCTAAACAGGGTAACAAAACACGAGACTCAGGAAACCCGAACCCGAGACTCCTGAGTCTCGGGTTTTATTACCATGAATCATCACCAGCTCGCTTGTTTTTTAAGTATTATTGCAGTCTAGACAGGGTTTCCTTTTTAGGCTAGGCAGATTTGTTTCATGAAAGTCGTGGAAACTACACTACTGTGGTTTTGTGAAGGTGAGTCGTGCGGCCAGGGGGACATGGTATGGGGGCCCAATTGTTCCGGTAAGTCGAGTAATCACCTAAACAGTGTTTATTAACTTATTTTAATTCGTGAAAATAGACACATGGTTCCAGTTAGAAACCTGCTGAGCGTCATGTGAAGACCCCTATACCAGTTTTTTTAGAAAGCCGTGGGAAGCACCGGCCGCGCGCTAAAATGACCAGTCGTGCAACAGGCACAAGGCTGGGGTGAGAAAAGTAAGAGACGGAGAAACAGCGCGGGCGCCTTATTTCATCTCTAGCCTCGGTCCCTCTGCACGAATGGCCACTTTAACGCTGCACCGTGCATCCCACATGCTCCAAGTTGAACCAATATTGACTGATTTAGTGGCCTTTGATGGCGTTCAGAAAGTTTCTAATTAAAGTGATATGTTTATTCTCAAAAATTAAAGCTTTAACATATTTTTGGCTAATTAGCCGACTGATAATTACGATTAGCCCCTATGCTACGTTCCCCTGGCTGTATAACTTATCTGCAAGAACCGCCTGAGTGTATAACTTTCAGGGCCTTTCTTTTTTGCTTAAACATCTTGTATATTTATTTCCTCATTTATGCATTTATTTAACCTTAAGCTGTAAAGTACGACAGAGGGGATTAGTATATAGAAGCAAGAAATTACAAAGGCAAACTGGACATACTCTTTTCATTTCCCTGAAAACAGAAACGTATCACAAATTGCCCCGCCATTGTGTTGGTACGTGAAAAGTTGTTGGTCTAGCGCCAGCAACCTCCGGGCATTTTCTCTTGACCTGTGCCTCCATGCCTTTCCACTCCTTTGACTACACCAACTCCTATCCACCCCATTTACTCATTGACTCATTCACCCATTAACTCTCACCGTCGGGTCGGCCCGTGTCCAGACAGTTAGGGGAATGACGGGTAGCCGGTAAACTGAATTTATCTGTAGGTCACGTGGCGTCAATATTCCCCCCGCAAAATCTAGCGGGGAAACTGAATTCGCTTAAAGGTCCCGTCATATGTCACGTGACGTCGATCCTTTTTTTTTTCTAAATTTAGCGGGGAAACTTAATTTGTGTTGCGTTCACGTGATGTCAGTTTTCCCGCTACATCTAGCGGGGAAACTGAATTTGTGCGCCGGTTACGTGACACGAAGTCATGTTACGTCATTTTCCCCGCTCAATTTAGCCGAGAAATTTGCAATTACGCCTTTTTGAGCCTTAACTTTGCCTGAAAACTCAGACACGTTGGACGTTAATCGGACTAAGGTGTATTTTTAAAAAAGCAGACACGTGCTAGTGTCGTTGCATTTTTAAAAGATGGAAAAGGGGGGAGGGGAGTTAAATATAGCAATTTACGAAGGTGCTAGGACTAATAAGAGAAGAGGTGCATTCTTGTGGTACGTGTAGGATAACACCAACCTTGTTTCGGTGAGATCTAAGGCTTCTTAGAGATGGGAAAAGTAATGGGGGGAAGGGCGTTATATACTCGATATTGTATTGCTTCAGAGTAAATGATTGCGTAAATATTGTGAAAGAGGCACGCAAGAGCGTTATACTGCCTATACGTAAGGCAAGCTGTGGCGAAAATGCCATAGAGGTTGCAGTATATATAGCGGCACGACTGCTGTCGGAAAGTAGTCAACCTGCCTAAAGAAGCGGTCCCACTGCCTGATACATCGTATGAAAGACAGTCTGGGCACACCGGGGAGTTTTAGGGAACCGTTTTTGCACATCCGATACGGTACGGTGGGCCATCCGGTACGCACTGCGCATGCGCTATCACAGAAGACTCGCGCATGCGCAGTTCGTACCGGAGGGCCTATCGTACCGCATCCGATGAGCAAAAACGGTTCCTCTAAAACTCCCTAGTGTCTAATGCGTGTCTCTCTCTGTCCCACTGGTCATACACGAAACTGGCTGCGGACGTGTTCTGAGCATAGGTGTGTAGCAGGTCAAACACACGCTTCGAAGGTGGCTCGAGGCCTGTCCGCGGGTAATTGTCAACATGTCTGCGGCCAACGCCGTTTCTTTTGTCCAATGTGCGAGCGGTGTAACTGCGGCTTAAAGGATCACTCTGATGACATTTGAGCTTCTCATTTATTTATGTAATTACTTCATTAGTGTAGTTTGGGCTGCTCGGGGGAACAGCTATAGTAGCCACGAAATATTAACCAATCATGGCCACAACTCAACGTCCGGTGGCGACACGGTGTGTTAAAAACGCGCGACCAGTGACGTCACTGGTAACCATTCTGCGAATGGCGGTGTCAGCGAGAGCCGTCCTAATTATTTTTTATGCAGGCTAAATAGCGTGTGTCACTTCTTAAACCATCGTTATTCTTTCAATAAAGCGTTTTTACTGCGCGAGAAAGAAAGAAAATATAAAAGAAATCTGTTTAAAATGTGCAAAAACAACAACAAAAAAATAAGACGCCCGTTTTTTTTTTTTACTTTTTTCTTTTACCAATAAGGCGAAGGAGAAAAAATCTTTGAGGGCGCTTAAGCTTCGCCTTTAAGGGGGAACGCGATGGCGTTATCGGGTCCGTTCACATCGCCTTTTCCTTTGACGTGCAACCGTACCTTGCGGGGCCTATAGTCAGTGGCGTATCAGGCTTGCAATCGGCAGGTTATGAATTCGAATGCAGTCTAAAATTCTTCAGGTTTTTCTTTAGGGCATATTACGTAATTTATAAAGTGAAATCATTTGAGACATGCGGCGTCCTTTTATTCCCATTACATGCCATGTTTTCTATTCACTTTCGTTTTACGTGTGTGTTGTGGGTCGTTTGAAAATCCCGCGCGAGGTCATGTGGCTGTGACGTCATGACCCTATCAACCAATCAGGATTTTCCCTCACGACGCCACCGACGCTGGCTTTCCTGCGACATGAGCTCCTTAACGCTATCATGTTAATAAAATGTACATGGCATCTGAACTAATTCCCGTATAAAAAACAAAAACAAAATTTTGGAGGCGTGAGTGATGCATTGCGCACGCGCGATGGCTCATTCAAAAAAAAAAAAAGAAAAAAGAACAGTGGCCCACCCAAATAAAAGAGAAGTGGACGAGTGGAACAGCGTGCTGTGATTGAGGGTTTCTCTCCTGATGTGGGCAACGCAGCGCGTCACAGGGCGCTGCGAAGGTTGCCGTCTGCCGCACAGAGGGACCCAACGCGAACGCAGGCAACGTGGTTCTCGCAAGCGGTACGGCTGTATCAGCAGATGACGGAGCCGCGACCCTCACTCTTCCGATATCACCTCACGTGCGCGGCATGAATGCGCACGTTACTGTCTAGAAAGCTCCATTGGCTAGCCGCTTCGCTCCAACCCTCCAAACATTGACTTTTTTTTTACGTCAAGGAGGAAAAATGTCTGTTTTTTTTTGTAATTTTAATTCGCTTATAACTGCCAAATTGATTTTAATTTTGGGAAAACAACATTTTTCCGCCATGTTCCTACGTTTGATGAGGTCCGGTAGAGCGGAAATTTCAAACGAGTCAAAAAAATTATCAGAGGGTCCCTCTAAAGCTTCTAAGCGACGGGAAAGTTGATGGGAGGTATTTACTTAGACTTGATGCAAAGTGTATGGTAGTATATTTGGCGACACAGGCATAAACAAGAATACTGCCTAGTCAAGGCAGTATTGGAAATTTTATAGAGGTTGCGCTAGCACGACGGAAGTCGTCGGAAAGTATTAATCGTGCTACGAATTTGGTTCGAACATTATCCAATGTCGTAAATTATTCGAGGGCAGGGTCCCCGATGTGAGCTGCGTACTCATGCCTTGATAGTAGCAGCGCAGCCACATCGCTTCATAAACAGCTCCTACTAACTCTGGTTCGCGTCGAAGTGTCGTTTCTTGTCTGACTGCCAAACGTTTCCTCCTTCTTTTGTTTACAGTGCAATCCTGGGTATGCGTGCTACATGAAATTTTGCATTCAAGCTCCTTTCGAATGTGAGTATCCACCAATGTTTCACCCGGTAATTTCCGACAAAGTTGTTTTTATTACTTTAAACAGGGACATTACGAACTAGTAGATCCTTCACTAATATACTATGAGCAATAAAATCAAAAGCTGCGCCCTTCTTAGCTGAACCTCACAAGAACAGTACTCGATAACAGCCTTCCGAAAGGAAAAATTAAAAGGCCGCAGCCGATGCTTGAGAGCCCATGAAAGCAATGATATACCCTCTCGTTCTTTTGACATTTCAGGGTTTTCCTTTAGAGTAGACTAAAGCCACTGAAGCTAGGCCTAGAGTATCGGCCTTCCGTCCCCCGATCTGCTAGTGGGCACCGCCATCTTGGTGCTAAGTGCCGAGCACACGCAACTGCCGATCGTCATGATGCAAAAGTGCGACTTCATCAGCATATGTGATTCGATGTTAGGAAGTCAAGTAATATTGCTTTGCTCTGTCGCGAGCGGTTTTACCCATTCCGGAGGACGGAAGTGCGTTTCCTGTCATTTCAAATAAAGCTTCGGATAACTGGCAACCATGATTTTAAGCACCAAGATGGCAAAAGTGTCGTTACTCTGAAGCGTAGCTTATTTAGTGGCTTTATTAGTGGCTTTAGAGCAGACGATATATGTTGCAATCATAATCAGTAGGTTTTTTACATTGATTTTAAGTTTGTCAGGATCTTTTTATGAAAAAAAAACTTGTGTTAGGTTGTTTTGTTGTTGTTGCTGTTGCTGTTGCTGTTGCTGTTGCTGTTGTTGTTGTTGTTGTTGTTGTTGTTGTTGTTGTTGTTGTTGTTGTTGTTGTTGTTGTTGTTGTTGTTGTCGTTGTTGTCGTTGTTGTTGTCTTGCGCCCTGGGGGTAGTACGGGCTACTATATATGGAAGAGGCGAAATTGGTTGACCAGCTAATTAACTCAAACATTTTATTTAACGATTTTAATTTTTATTTTTGGGAGCATAAAGTAGAATCGATGCTCCATCTCATTATGAAGTAAGGTGTAATTTTTATTAAAGAGTTCGTAGTGGGCGCTATGAGGTGAGAAATATATCCAGCTTGTACACAGTTTCAAGCTGAAACTTAGTGTACGACGAGCGCTTGTGGCGTCGATCCCTCCACACTGCGCGTGCGTCGCATACTGCTGACGTCACCTGCGGCGTTGACACGTGAGTCGCGTCTCGAGAGCGCCACCTTCCGCGAGGTGACGTCGATGATACGATGAGTTCATGCTTATACTCGAATGTACCCGCCATCCTTTTCTATTTCAGGCTTGGTGCTTGAGGACCTGAATTCACGCTGTGGTGGCTCCGAAGTAAGCATCATTGCGCAAGAGCTTAACGTTGAAGATGTCACGGGGGCTAAACATTATATTTAAGTGATGTCAACTTCGACTCCTTATTTTTACGGCAGAGAATATCACTTCAATCCTAATTTTAAAAAGATGCGACATGTAGTGAACACTTGTTTACAACACAGACAAATGAATCGATATAAAATACCGTGAGCAAATATGGCAATTTGTTGCAAGAGAGTTTTATTAGATCGTCTCGATAACTCCGACAACTGTACCCGATAATGATATGATGTATGTGAAACGAAGCCGGCAGACTATCGGGTCAAGTTGTCGGAGCTACGAACAATCCCCTAACACTCTCTATTGTGTAACCTTTTTTTACTCGAAACATTGGTATGTCAATGTTCACATCAGCCGTTTGTAAATTGCATTTTTCGGTAGAACGGTTCAAGGTTTCAGGAGTTAAGTGCGCACCAAAGTACGGAAGAGACACTGCGTGTAGACTGCCAACAGCATTCCTACTCCGATTCTCTTAACAAATAATGAAGCCCATAGAGGTGGTCTAATTGCGCACTTTCAGCATTAAGTCATTCTTAGGGTACTAAAATGACAAGTAAGCAAAGAAAGTATTGGGTGGTATGATATATTAGCAATTCCAAAAATAAATTTAATATGAAAGTTCGGGTGAAGGACCCAGAAAGCATGGATGCTTCAAGTAAACTGCTATACGTTCTGTTGAAGTATTGCACAACCGGTAATTTTTTTTAAGGTAAGGTGTCAATGCAAAAACAAAGACATAAATATAACTTGTTGAACCCTACGACAAACATTTTTTTTTTCATAAGTCGTTGAAACGGATGTTAAAAAAAGCGAATAAAAACTAGAAAACATGTTTTTCTTCAAAACAGTAGGTTTCTTGATTGGTATATAACCCGAGACGGAGGTTTACAAGTAGGGACAAACAAACGTCTCAAATGAGACGTCTCTTTGTCCCTCTTTGTGAACCTCCGTCTCGGGTTGTAGAATGTCTTATAACAACCAGCTCGCCTGCTTAGTTAAGATGGCATCTTTTGGTTATATTACAAATATAACTATGCTCAAAAGAACTGATAAATGCTCGCCTTTGGCTGAGGGGGAGGAAAAATAATCATGATATCAATTGAAACGTATAAAACGTTATGTTATACCCACTCAACGAATATATCATATTGTCCCGTTATTTTCCTTTCGCGAATACTACAAATACTACTCTCATGGGCAATATTGTAAAGAAAGGGGGGGGGGGGGGGGGCTTGCCATATTGCCCATGAAACAATGTAGGATCAATATATAAATATAATTTAGTTGTGGCTTTCGATAATTCAATAGAAGTTAGAATATATTTCGAAATATTCCTATGCTCCGTTTCACTTCAGTGTGAACGTGGCGGAAGCTACAAAAGGGAGCTTCGTGCTTTCAGCTTCCCTGCCAAGCACGCACGCTCGGGCACCGTTCAGGGCCACATGCTCGGGCTTGTAGCGTCGGCCTCGCGTCCGCTTAAAGTGAAACGGAGTATAGAACTCGCGTAGGTAAGCAATTGTATTCACGTTTCCACCACAAAAATGATGTAAGTGTTGTTTCAGGGTCCCAAGTGCTCGTCAAACGAAGTGTGCGGCTACAGGAGAACGTTCCTGAGTTGCATCAAGTGTCCCTGCTACGGCACGCACGAAGCTGTCTGTGAGCTGAACATTCATCTTACCAACAGTTGTGTTCTAGCTACTGTATGCTTAAAAATGTCTTACTAGATACTGTCTCGCGATGCACTAACGAACGCCGATCACTAGGGCTAGGAGATTTACTCACTTATTCGGTAATTCGGAATTTCTCCAAAAGTCATCCACATCATGGTATTTATTACAAAAAGAAGCGCAAGTTCACTTCCCCTGCTCTCTGTCAGTTTCTCGGCACATTGATCGTTGTTCGGAGTATGAATGATTGTGCACAAACGTATCAGTTTCATGTATAGCGTTTAAATTTGTATGAATGATCACTACAAGACCGACACTTAATTTGTATCTGACTATACACAATAACGAGGGAAAAAAACAATAAACAAAGGCAAGTCTTGAAGTTTACTTTTTTATTAGTCAATTTAATATTTCTTCTAAATACCACAGCGTAAGATATTTGACACTTCACTGCAGGTCCGGTATGCTCATTGTCCTTTTCATTGCTTAGCCAAACAACGAGACACGAATGGTGTCTTCCCAGTACATAATTCGCGAAAGTGAGCGGCATTGTGTAAAAAGCTGAAACTTGTGCCCCTTTTTTAGCGTCTACTCAAACCTTCGTTCGCAGACACTCTGTTATTGGCAACACAGAGCAACATATAGAAACACACTTTACCAAAAAAAGAGAAGGACCCGAGTTTACAGTGCAAGTCAAGGTTTGCTTTTTCTGGCGCTGTATGCTTTCAAAATTCATAGAAAGAAAGGTAACTAAACTTCACGTCTCGTCACTGACAGCGTAAAAAGTATCCAGGGCGCTTATTATATTCATGCTTCTTGTTTCTGTTATGAGTTCTTTAGCGCCCTTGTCTGCTGGCGCCGCAATCCCATTGGTCGCGAAGCGATATATTAAGGCATATTCGGGACTCGCCAGCCCGGCATGTCCTAAACCGTAGGTGACTATACGGAGAGAAAATAAGAGAGACGGGGAAGATGAAAGCGTGTTGTGGACGTCAGAGCGTCAAGCTCTGATAGACGATGCTCTTGTTCGTTTTCATTGGAGGGAGACAGTTGCAGACACAAAGGCAGCTAGCCTTTGTGTGTACCCACTAATGCTTCCAATCAGAGCGCGGCCCTCTGACGTCACCGCACACTAACATCTCCTCCTCTCTCTCTCTCTCTCTCTCTCTCAGTTTCTCTCCCTATAATAATACCACATCGTTCTGTTTATTTGCTGGGGTTATGACTGCACTTTAGCCGTAGTCATTGTGCTAATACATCATACAAAAGAAAGAGTGCAGACATTCCCTGAGGTGTGTTTCTTCCTTGTTTGACTGCGCGGTCACATTGGGCATACAAAAAAAAACTCTCTCCAGATATCATAATAATATAATAATCATTTGTTTATTTAATGTGCCCAACTTACAACCACGCGGGTCTTCACATTGGCGCACACAAAACAAAAAGAAGAAACACAGCACACGCACAGCTTAAAATGTACTAATTAGCATTGCAACAAATAGGTCGCACATTTCACACAAAATGTGATAGTTTCAACTTTTAACTAGATGTTTGAAGCATACAGATGCGCGAAGCAAACGTGCTTCCAAGATACTTTGAGGCGTGTGCGCAGATACCCCTGTCATTTTGACTGTAGACGGCGTGTCTTTTGTTTGCTGTATGAACAGCGTGACAACGGCCAATGCAACGGCTTTTGGCCTCGGCAAAGAGTTAGCTTTTTCTGTAATCGTAGGTATAGGAATATGCTAATGCCTCGGGAAATGCATTAATGGGTGAGAATACACTATATAGGATGCGCTCGTTCTTGCATGTGTGTCGATGCAGGTGTGCCCAGAGATCCTGAAAACACCTGTCACCGCGACAGCATGGTCCAGGTGGAAAGAGACGGAACCTCGGGCTACGTCTGTAAGGGTTGTGCTTCGCCTGCCTCGGTACTGACTGCCCGGAATCGCCCTTCTTGCAAATGATCTTTGCAATAGAAGAACGAGATTACAAGTCATTCCTCGTTTTAGTTTGGCACTATCATTATTTTTGTTTTGTTTTGTTCTGTAGTCATTAAATAAAGATGCGGATGTACCCGGACGAGGTAAATGCTGCGCAAGTTGGTTCAACGTCCCTATATACTTCGGAGTTTGGACGTCTTGAGAAATTGAGAGATCAACAACTTGTGGGGACCTTAGCCGAAAACAAATGGCCATATCTGGACCGGCTTGTCAGAACAGCGTCTCAGCTGAGATTAGGTGAAAGAAAGCTCTGCAAAGGCTGGGGCGCGCGAGCCTCTTGAGATGCGGTTTCAGTCCCGCTCAGCCGTTGCGCTGGCTTTGGAATTGCTTTCGTCATTCAGTCTCAGCTGTGACGCTGTTTCTAGCAAGCCGGCCAAGGTGTTTCACTACAGTGTACTAGAATATGGGGGGGGGGGGGGGGGGGGGGGGAAGTAGTGTTGGGACCGGAGCCGGTCGCGTCAGGCGAGTGATGCATAGAGTTATTATATAATTTATGCTAGAGGTTCAACTGGCGCTAGTGTGGGGCTGCAAATTGAAGCAGACAGCAACCATGCAGTCTGGAATTGACTTCCGGTAATGCATTTATATGGGGGGAAAAAGCGAGTGCATTTTCTCTCTGCGCTCGATTAAAAGAGCAAATATCACGAATAATTTGTACGTACTAGGCACATTGGACCATTTCTCAGTCACGCAGACGAAATAACTGGTCAGTTACGGCGTTTTTATTTTAAATTCGTGGCATGAAAAAAGGTGCTAAAACTGCTTCGTACATGTATTTATGTGCACTGTCGGACACCGTTAGCGCAAGCACGGCGTCGGCGCTTTGTAGCGTGGGGAATATACGTGCCAAACGAACGAAGGACATGTGGAAAACTAAGAGAGACTGGAAGAACTACGCTGGAACACTGGATAAGTAACTCCTTGTGCATGCAAATGATCAAAATAAATTGAAAGCCACGTAATATAGCCCGATTTCCAATAAATAACTACTGTTTCGTTTTGGAGCGCAGCTCTTAGGCGCCCGTTCCTGGCTTGAGCGGCGTCGCCGTCGCCGTTGGCGTCGCCGACGCCGTCGCCGTCGCCGTCGCCGTCGGCGTAACCGCGAGTAACCCTCGTAACCCTCGTGAGGGTTACGGGGGTTACGAGGGTTACTTTCACGAGGGTTACCCTTACGAGGATCACGAGGGCTACGAGGGTTACTAATCCTCGTAGCCCTCACGAGGATTACAAGGGTTAGTTACCCTCAAAAGGGTTACCCTCACGAGGGTCACGAAGGTTATGAGAGTTACCCTCACGAGGGTCACGAGAGTTACCCAGGTCACGTGACCCCCCCCTCCTGAGGTCACGCGACCCCCTCCCCCCGAAGTCACGTGACTCCCGTTGACGTCATTGCCACTGATGACGTCATCAGTGACGTCACTGATGACGTCATCGGCATCCGCATCGTCATCGTCATCATCACTGATGACATCATCAGTGAAGTCACAGATGACGTCACCGGCATCCGCATCGTCATCATCACTGATGACATCATCAGTGACGTCAATCATGACGTCATCGGTATCCGCATCGTCATCGTCACTGATGACGTCATCTGTGACGTCATCGGCATCGGCATCGTCACGTGACCCCGAGGTCACGTGACTCCCCCGACGTCACGTGACACCCCAAGGTCACGTGACCCCTACAAGGTCACGTGACCCCTACAAGGTCCCGTGACCCCCCCCCCCCCAAGGTCACGGGACCCCCACCACCCAAAGTCACTTGACCCACCCCCCAGTACCCTTCCCTCCTCCTCCTCTTCAAGAGCTGCGCTCTAATTCGGCGTTACAGAGAGTTGTAAACGGCTTTCATTTTTTTCTGCTCGTGAATATGTGGGAAGATGCTTGTTCTGGGTTCAAATCATCACTCGCACGCTCCAAATCTTTGAAAATAGGGAGAAGCCAGAGAACAGGTGCCCGATAAAAACTGCCCGACATAGGAAATAATAAAAAGACACACATTTTGTAGCCCACGTACTTTATTTTTGACGTCCGAATGTTTTTTTAACCGATCGTAAAGATGAGCACGACGGGGTCAATTTCAAATAATGACAGGCATATATTAGCAATATATAAGCGCCGCCGGAATGCTAGCTAACCTTGAACACACTCTACATTCCTTTCGATCGTTATTTTGCTTAGAATTGTCGCTCGTTTTGACATACCTGTCATGGTACAGAGATTTGGGCCTGAAATACAGCAACGTTTAACATCGTTCAGTGGTAAAAACAAATGCTGTAACTAAAGCAATTACGCTTTCCCAATATTAGTAGAGGCATATACTATCCGGTACAACCGAAATAACAAAAGTTATTCCTGTTATTTTTTGGCGAAGAGACAAAATGCACGCGCGTTTTTCCATAGGGATGCACAGGAGCACTGCAAAAGTAGACTGGTTGCTGTCTGCTTCAATTTGCATCCCGGAAGTCGCGTAGACACTAGCGCCAGTTGAACCTCTAGCGTATATTATAATAACTCTATGGCGTGATGTAGATGGCAACAGCCGTCGACAACCGTGCATTGGTAGTAAGGTCGAAAGGGCGGTGGTTGGGCACATGCGGCGGCAGGTGCGGGCTTCAACGACTTTCTGCTGCCCTGTTGACTCCAGTGCCGCGAGTTTTGTGTACACGCGCAGCCTCACGAGCTGCCATTGCCGAGCCGCGCCGGTCCAATCACACTGCCCCATATTCTAGTGCACTGCAGTTTCACCCCATGTCGTCTGCGGGGGAACGTAATGTGCTCTGGTCGCAAACAGAATTAAGCCCGGTTCAGACAGTTGCGTTTGACTGCGTTTCGGCTGCAAAAAACCAGGACATTTTTGCTGATTATATCGCGTGCCAATATGATTCCTTGAATTGGATTCCACGCTTCATACGAAGCACATAGGTGCCGGTGACTCGCTGTCGGTTCTCGACGCAACGCAGTCAAACGCACTCAAACGCAAGCGTCTGAACCGACCTTAAGAATGGAAGGCCGTGCCTTCGCAGCGTCCAGTCTCCAGTCAGCGCTTCATGCGTTTCGCCGACTTCTGTTCTGCGCGCGCACTCGAGGTCCGCGAGACGCAGAAGCGTTCTCGAAGTAGGAAGAAGAAGGTAAGGGCAGGAGGAGAAAACAGAGAGGTTAACCAAGGCGGCCTGCCTCGGTTGGCTACTCTGAGTTGGGGAAGGGGATGAGGGGATAAAAGAAGGAGGAAAGAAAATGTAGAGGAGGATAAAGGTAACACACTAGCACTCACGTTAACACTGTGAGGGCAGAATCAATAATTAAGAAAATACCGCAGTTTCCAATATGACATTAAAAACTAAGAGACTGAAAGTGCGTGCTGGATTGTCACCAATGTTCACCCAAACTTACACACAAAACTTACATACAACAGGAGCGAGCACATCGTAAATTCACAATAGCGGCTTTCTTAGACATCAAAGGAGCATTCGATAATGTCACTCACGAAGCGATATTTCAGGCTCTCAGCGAAATTGGGATTGGGGGACACTTATATAGGTAGATAAAAAGCTACCTCACAGGAAGATCAATTTTTATGTCTACAAAAGAAGGAAATACGCCTTCATATCCGGTGACCCGTGGTGTCCCTCAGGGGGGCGTCCTCAGTCCTATATTATTTCACATCGCTCTCATTCGTCTCGCCAAAATACTGCCCCCAACCATCCAGGCATCTTTCTACGCCGATGATATCTGTATATGGGCTTCTGGATCTACGCGAGTTCAAGCAAAGGCAAGGGTTCAGTCTGCACTAAAGAAAATGACAACTTATCTTAATACCCGTGGACTCGAAATTTCCATTGACAAATCAGCAGCTATTGCTTTCACCCGCCGAAGAATGGACAAATACCCACTTAAGATAGGCAAACGAACAATACCATACGTAAAATGCCACACATTTCTTGGAGTAACCATCGATAGGGGTCTGACCTGGTCACCTCATATTTTGTACTTGCGCAAAAAGCTTGCCAGTTTTAGTGTCCTTGCCCGCTTCATCGGTGGAACCACGTGGGGCGCGACAGTAAGATCCCTATTACAGATATACGTGGCCTTATTTGTCGGCTTACTTCGATATAGCGCTCCCATTTTACATGGCACGTGTCAAACCAACATCAAAGCTCTCAAAGCAGTTCAAGCACGTGGCCTCCGTGGCTGTTTGGGCCTACCAGCTTGTGCATCGACTCTGGGAACAGTTGCCGAGGCACGCGCCACACCTGTAGAAATACTAATGATGCAGGAAACATTGAGAGTTCATCTGAGACATACTACTAATCATAGTCATCACTTACTGGCTGATCTTACTTTTAAGCGACCTCACTCAGAATATTCGATGGCACTATCAAACATGGAGCAATACATCCCTGATGATATAAACTCATTTACTCTTCCAACTATACCTCCATGGTGACTCCCTCTCCCCGTTGTGGAACTTGACATTCAAGGCATCAAGAAGAAATCAAATACACCATTGATAGTACTTAAACAACTCACTTTATCCACCATTGCCTGTTTACACGCGACAAAAACTCACATATATACGGACGGATCATGTGTCAAAATTAGTTCTACCGCAAGCATTGTGATTCCATCGTATGCCACAACAAGAACATTCAAGCTTAGCCACAAGACATCTTCAACAGCGGCTGAACTTGTAGGCCTTCATCAAGCCCTTCAATTTATATTGACAAAGCCACCTCAGGCATGGACGGTGTTTACAGATTCTAAGCCTGCACTCCAAAGCATCTGCACATATCTGCGACGAAGTGAAAATGGACAAATTATTTTCAAACTTTTATGCCATCTTCAGAAATGTATTGATAGGAGACACTCTGTCGAGTTCGAGTGGATTCCTGGGCACTGCAAGATACCTGGAAATGAAGCTGCGGATGGAGCTGCGACTTCCGCCCATGCCTTATTCCCCAACGTCGAAATACCCTACTCCAGAAGCGACGTCACTTCATTGATAAATCTCCACGCCCGAAATGCAACACAAAGTCTCTGGAAGAGCTCTGCACACCATTACCCTCCTCTATATCTACTGGATCCTGACCT